ACAAGATAGTCTTTGTTTGTAATAAGTCAAGACAGAATTAAGTTAATATGTTATCAATTTATTACATCATAATTTTTTACCGAACTGAACTCTAAGTAAATTCTTTGGATACCATGTCTTTTTTCTCAGTTTTCCAAAATAACTAGCTCGACTTTACGCTCAAGAGCGTCTATATTATTCAAAATATCTGATAGGTCATATAGGTCACATAAACAATAGAAACGGTACAGTCTTGGCAGTATAACTTTGAATAATATTTTGATCATTTGAATCATGTATCTGTATCTTGTGTTTCTGTTCTTTTTTATTTGGTGTTTTTCATTAATTTGTAAATCTGGTGTTCTGTGCCATCATAAAGGTGTACCTTAGCCTTCTAATGACAGTTCATTTTTTTTGGATTTGTAGAGAATCGAACCGCTAAGAACGTCTGCTACGGAGGCTATCATCAAAACAAACAATAGAGAATTAAAATGCTTCATACACAATATAGATTTTGTATACAGAGTTCAGTAAAGCTCACACGTGCAGTTTTCCGAACTTCAAACACACGTTAGTTTAGAAAATGGCATCAATATTTTTCAGATGAGGTTTGATATGCTTTATTCCATCGAATGATTGTTTTCTGTCAAAGTATGAACCTTCCCCTTAAATATCCATGTGATTTCTTATTTTTGAAGATTTTGTGTTTGACATCGAACACTTGTGTGACGAAGAAGTACTGCTCTTCGAGTCGGCGGTAGAAWATKCCCAGTCATTTCTGYACGAATCRTCCGCTAATCTTGAATTATATACCTCAATCCATGTCGTTTGGATGGTAATCAGTTGATTTTAAAGATTTTCAGCTCTTTAGAGCATTTTAGCTACATTTTATAACCATTTGAAACGAGACAACTTTTTGCCGCCGTCTGTCAGCCATTTTGTTTTCATTCTGAGACTGCAGTCCATCTGCAACGCAGGCCCTACCAAAAATCGCTGATTGGTTTATTTTGACATCTCCATGGAAACTGAGACTGCAACGCATGCGCTATCGATGCGCTACCAATTTGAAGCGTTCTATTCACCACGGCGAAAAAACCAGTTGCATTTTTAGACGTGGACTTCTACAGGAAGCCCACGTAATTATTATTGTTTTTTTTATTCCTAGTATTGCCAGTAATATAATTTAAAGTGTTCTGTGTCATTAATTTTCCCAGCAACGCCAAAGTTTATAATAAAACCAAACGCCAGTACATCTGTGATCGAAAATGCAGATTTGGAAATTAACTGCACAGCTAGTGGGCCTCCTAAACCAAATGTCACATGGGTGGAAGTCGGTAAAGGTGGTAATATCACTACAAAAGCACATGGAAGAGGAAGTGTTATGTTAAGTGAAGATTCTATTAAGAAAGGGTCGCAAGGGAGAATATTTGTTTGTCAAGCAAGAAACAACCCAAGCCAATATCCAGTAAATGTAACTACAACAATTACAGTATACTGTAAGTATAATATTGTTATTTGGTGATTTTTGTAGCGGATCCAAAACGTTACAAATGGATGGGGTGATCATATGACTCGCCAAAAAGTATTAAATGGATAGACATTGCTTTGAGCTGCTTTAGTTGTTTTTCAAAATGTGTCCCATTCAGATTTAATTTTTTATGTTATTCATTTCGGTATATCATTATTTCTTATTCTATATCCAAAACTAGGATTTCATTAAGTGTAATTATGAATATTGACACTGACAATTATCATGGCACCATGAATACGCTTTACCCGTAAATCCCTTTTGACAAGAAAGTTGAAAACACCTGTCCGCAGATCACTCCCACGGTTATCCATAGAAACTATGCAAAATATCAAATAGTTATGTTCACAGTGCGGATTATTGTGCATTTTAGCCATCAAACTAGACGCCCAAATATAGCGCGTGCTTGTGCCCTAAAATGACCCTGGAAGGGTTTTAGGGATACTTTAAACTCGTAAACATATTTTAATTTTTATTTTTTTTATTTTTTTATAATTTATTTTTTTGATTTGTTAAAATGCTTCCACTGGATACCTAAAATTGGATTTACACGGAACGATTGTCGCGTGTCTATTGTTGATTGTCGTGTATACGACTCAAATCGCGCCGTACAAATGCCCCTACGACATAATGTCTAGTGAGAATATAATTCTTGGTGTGCAACCTCCAAAGTGAAAATTTATTAGTCGTTATTTTCAAAAACCAAGTAGCGAGTCACAAAGAGCATAGTCAGATTATCTAGAATACGAGCTTTAAGGCTTGTAGCTTACTTTCTGATGAAGATATCAGCGAATAAAGATTTGAAATATTTGGTTAATTTATATGGGGACGCCATCTTGGATGATAACTTTGATCATCCAAGATGGCGGCTGGTTTCAAATTCACTTCAAAAACTCTGGTTTCCTTGATTTCCTTTGTAAATTTTGTTCAACTATGGCTTTATTTCACAGAAAAATCACCTTAAGTAAGTTCTTACGGAGTTAAAAGAATGATTTATCCAATTTCGAAGTTTTTGTTTACGATCTAAAAGTAGAATGTGTTTCGCTACCAAAGCTTTGAATTTGTCTGAAAATTTGCATGCACACTATCTAGAAGTATATTTAAGACATACTGTAAGAACAGCTCTTTCTTTGCTTGACTATGACGTCACATGCACACGAAGAATAGAGTTATATTCCACATAAGAACATAAATATTTATAACAATAGTACGTTATTTTACGTTTCTCATGTAAATTAGCAGATAACGCGACACCTATTGTTTTAACAATAGGTAAAAAAGGTATTAGAAGAAAATTGAAAAGCAAAAGAACAAACAAACAAATAAAACACATAAGACAGGGGCTTGTTCAAGAGTTTATTAGCAATTCAATTCTATATTTGATTTTTATATAAATATCAACAAAAGCTCATCCAGTTTACTATCTAGTTTTTTGAAAGCATTGTTCATGAGCTCAAAGCTAGCAGAAACGTTTCACACATAGATGTGAGCAATCTACGCTTGGTAGTTGACTTCTCGCTGCGACTGCTGTTTCTTTTTTTCTTTTTGACGGGTGTCAAAGTGACCTCTGCTTCATTATCACTACTTTCCTCACTTTCGCTATCTACAAAAGAGTCAAACTTGCGTTTACTTCTCTCCTCTGCCGTTTTCTTTTCAGCGTATCTCATTTGCCTTTTTGCAACAGCGTCAGCACCATCCCTGTGTGTGTTCTTCGGTTTTGCATCAACTACCATTTCGATATCGTCGTGTTGATCAGTAGTCTGCGGCTCAGTAGTACGTATGTTCTGATATAACATGGCCTGGACCTTCGTTTCTTCTCTTACAATTCTCTTTATACGTCGCAAAACTTTATTGTCATTTTCTTTCGAATAAAACTGACATAAATTATCAAACCATGGCATCTTAGTGTTGATTTTTGTCTTCACGCACTCTATTACAGTCTTCGAGTTATCTCCATAACGTAGGTACGCTTCCATTATCACCTCTTTTTCTTTTTCGCCAACTCTGATTCTTTTCTTGTTGGTTTTTACGTTGCTTTCATGTACGGCGTGGACGATTTCTTCTWTCTCTTCTTCGCTGTCTTCGAATGGCCTCCATAAAGACATGATGTTACAGTGAAACTGTGAACTTGTGATATGTGCATAGCCTTTCTACACCTTTTTCAAAAAACGTTGTCGTCGCCAGGACACAGTCCACGGTCTTGAGCCTGCTAAGAATCTTGGGATTGTCATATATAATTATATATTCAATTTCAGTTATTCAAAATACTCCAGCTTAGAGTTCTGGTTTGTTCTGTGTTAGACTCAAAACCAAGCAACATATTCTTTTGTTTCATTGATAGACCCGAGAAAAAGCATGGAATTTGAAAAGAAAGACAATAGAATTGATCTCACACTTTAATTCTCACAATTGCTGAGGAATATTTTACGCACAAATGAGGCTAACTCAGAGCATTGGAAACTGGATTATTCTCGGTCTTGTATCGAATATAGCTTTGAAACTCATCGACGGTTTGAAAACGTGGAATATTTTTCAAGGAAAACGTCTCGTGGCGAGACTTGTTCGTTAATAGATAATTACGTCGGCACACAGCATTCGTAGGTATAATGCAGGCAGCTGAGAGCGCAACATTTTGCACGCGGTATACAATACCACGAAGTTATCGTGTAAGCTGTAAAGAGGTGTTTACAAGTTGTGGAATCATAGTTAATAGACTATGGTGGAATATCACTTTTCATGATCATGTTTTTCCTTTACCGGTTTAATGAACATTACCTTTCTTTGATGCCATGGACCGAGATTGTTTCCGTATGTGTTGGCTGTGCCTTTCAGCCTTAACTAGATTCCTGGGTTTACTAATAGTTATACCTGTCCCGCTTCAATCTGACGATACCGTAGAAGTGTGCCGACTTATGATGGTAGCGTCGATGTCTATGAACTTTATCAATTTATTTTCCTGATAATGTCTTTGGCTCCACCAGATATATCGAATTTGAGTCTTAGAGACAGAGTTTTCTTTGATTTCCATGGTCATGACTATTATGGTAGAGACGTACATGTGTTTACAAATATTTGTGAACAGAGATATCTGTTTTGGCTCAATACCGGTGAGACCCCTGAATCATTTCTGCAAATCGTTCGTCAGACGGCGCTCAGATTTTTTAGAATAACTAGGAGTGGAATCCCAAGACAGCGACTTCGCCGATACAAGCTCAGCATTACCAACAGGGTTTTACTGGTCTTTATTTGGTTGCGAAAATACCCTCACATAGATACTCTTGCGTTGATATTCGACGTCAGCTCTCAAACAATATCGTCTTATTGTATCAAGGGCTAGGAACATTATGGTATCACTTTCGCTCTGAAGTAACTTGGCCAAGTATAAGACAGTGGAATGCAATAAGGGATACATGGCCAATCTTCCCAAATGCAGTGGGTTGCATTGACGTTAGTCCCCATGAAATCCAAAGACCCTCTAACGAACCTCAGCGTGAATTCTATAGTGGACACCGCCATTACCACCTTTTAAATACGCAGATGATTTGCGACAACAATGGGCACATTCGTTTTTTGCATACTGGGTTCCTGGGAAGTACTCATGATTCTATGAGTTATAAGGTTATGCTACCACTTGGTCGTTGGCGTGTCCTCGACGTACCACAGGGCGTCTTTTCTAGCTGACAAGGGCTATCCTGATACTGCACCGCTGCTGACACCGTTCAGACAAGCTCAAATAAGAAGGTTAGGTCATCGACAAAGGAAATAAAGCTAGAAAATTTAATCGCGAGCACTCCCGGAAACGTATAAAAATCGAGCTTATTTTCAAAAATCTCAAAGACTGTTCAGTGTACAACTGGAATTTGGCGTCACCCGAGATGGCTGCTTCCCACTGTCATTGAGCTATGTACATTTGTAAGGTTACTGTTCCCCTTCGCGGCGTGACTCTGTAAAAAAATCATATCTTGGCTTCATTAAATAATACTTAAACATATTATATCGTTTTGAACACAATGATCTAAACGTCTATGGCATTGCTTTGTAATAAATTAATAATCAAAAATCGAGTCCAAATTTTTAAAAAGTTAAATAGAAAAAACAACAGCAAAATTTGTACAGTATATTGGTCACTATATGTTGAACTTAAAAACCATGTGAGCGTTTTTTGATATTTTTTTTTATTTTGCGGAGTTATTGCCATTGAATTTAAAATTCTTGATGTGAAATTTGATATTTGACGCCATAACTTCAAAACAAAAATCTAAATCGAAAAACGCTCACACGGTTTTTTACCTCACTATGGCCCAAACGATATCCATTGAAAAAAAGGCGAGGTTTTAATGCAAACTTGCGAAAAAGCGTCTCAGAGCCCAAATCGCGACTTAATCTTAATAATTTTTAATCTATTAATTAGTAATCTATTAACGGTTTTGCTAAATAAACCAACTTCATAGACTTATTCTTCGGTCATACAGCTTTAATATGGTATATGATATGTTATGGTTCTTATCGTACGAGACGCTAAATTATTTTTTAAACTTGATAATTTGAAAACTCTAGCGAAGGGGAGCAGTTTTTGTTCGAACAACTCTAATTTGAACAGTATATGGTATATTAAAGCGCTGGAAAATTGTGTATGTTTGTTTTGTCCGCTGTTGTTATTCAATAGCTACCCTGGTTCCAGAATCTTGTCTTTTATTCTTTTGCTTTATGTTATCGAGCCGCGAAGCGGCGAGACTTTTCCGTTAATCGGTGTTTTAACTGTCAAACATGTCAAATAAACGAACCAATAAGAATTCATGACAGATAACAGATCATATTACTCTGATTTGTGATTGGTTTGTTTGAATACAGCATGAAAGTAAGATTTACTACGCTTGTGACCAGAGGCTTGGCGWAAAAAACAAACCGATTAACGTAAACGTCTCCCCGCTTCGCGGCTCGATAACATAAAGCAAAAGAATAAAAGACAAGCCCCACGAACCAGGGTATTCAATAGTAATATATTCACACACAAACAATGCATGCGAGTACATCAATTTAGATATGGAAGCCCGAAAAATGGGT